GATTGCACAAATAATTCTTTACAATTTTCATATAGGAGAAAGCTTGTTCAATCGTTTGTGCAGCTATTAGTAATATCGGAACACGCTTTATAAGCTAGAACACCAAAAGGTAAATATAATTTCTTTTAGTCTACACCATTTTTTGTGCAAGTTCTTCAATTCCTCTTAAATTATTAAATATATAATTAGATCATATATCAATAATTAAGTTGACTATCTAATATAATAAGATCTATATCTGAAAAGTCTAACATATACAATTTAGGCTTCGTTTGAGACTGCTTTTTTATTGTTTTCTAAAACGGAGTTTTAGTACAAAAATAAAAAAAATTGTACTAAATTTCGTTTTAGAAAACAATAAAAAAGCCGTCCCAAATGAAGCCTTAGTCACGCATACCAATTTTTATTTGTCAAAAGCTGAGTATGAGTCAGCTGGATTCAAGCATGCCACACACAAGCAATTCAATATTTTTCTCATCATATCTATTGTTAAGCACATCGAGTTGCATATCTATAACAGAATAAAATAACTCAATTTTGTAAAAGTGTTCATTTGTGCTTGATTGAGAATGACGCATTGATCTTCCTTGCATTGCAAAGTTATTAGTCATATTTGGAACAATTAAATTATTCTTCTCACAAAAAACCTGACTTTTGCAATAATATCATTATTTTTTGGGGTATTCTTCAAAGCCACTTTTCTTATACTTTAACATGTGATATAAGGAAGTGAAGAAATTCTAAAAAATTTCCTGACTTTCTGATTCATCATGACTACAAAAAGCTAACCCTTGATGCAATAGAAATTGGACAAAATCAATACTAGCAATTTAAATGAGTTCTATAATCTCTCTGATTTTGATCAAAAGGCCTTATAATAGCAAATTCAATGTCTTATTTTTAATTCATTAGATATTCACATTTTCTATATGCAATGTTATGAGAACTATGAACAACATGGACTTCAAATCTGTCCTTTCCAATTCAAAAATCCTTGTGTCAAAACTATCATCACTTGCTTGATCTCATATTTTTTGTCTATAAAAATAACAAAATAAGCTATAAACTGAATCTTTAGTGATGCTATATTCTTTGCTTTGTAATCATTAAACTATGTATGATTAAAACTATTTTATTTATTTCCAAATTTTATTTGCGAGAATTCATGATCTTGAGACTAACAAGACCCTCTTAATAAGTATGTTTTTCTCGCTATATCTCTATTATTTTGATGATAATCAATTTTTTTCCTTAGTCAGGGTCAACTCATAATTATCAAAATTTTCTACACCCAGGTATTTGAATTATGTATTAGTATTGTTGTGTTCTGAAATATTCGCGTCGATAGAGAGATATAAAGTTTAACGTCCTCGTTTAATTTGTACAAAGATCCTAGTTTATAACCAAGAATATAAAATGATATACAATTAAATATAAAAGAACAAATATACTCTAAATTCATATTTATTAAGAAGCAAACACCTGTATTCCAATTTTTAATAACTTTTCACGGATATAAATAGTACATTTTTTTTTTCATGTACATATAAAATGCTTATACAATTTGCTGACTTAGAAAATATCAGAAAACTAAAAAAAAACCTGTACGATACATAAATTTAAATTAAAAAAAAAAAGTAAAAACAAAACTTTTCACGGATAGAGAGGAGAGAGACTCACGTATTTGAGGAGAAATTATTACGCCCGGTCAAATCCGAACGTATCTGAATGTATATCGAGCAATACCGAGTGCTCAATACCGAGTTTCAGGTGACATGGCGCGTGGTTTTTGGTCTATGAACGCGTTCGGTGGCCGGACGTAATAATTGCTCGTATTTGAGAGAGAAAGCAGTTGCGGGTAGCTTGCGGCCTTGGAAGAGAACGACTTAGCGACGACGGAGGGAGAAAGACTGCGGCTGCAGCGAGCGCGAGAGGGGATTTGTGAGAGAGAGATTTTAGGGTTTTATATTTATATGCATATATGTAAATACACTTTCCTAATACAACAACAAAAATAATTTCCTACACCAACTAGTGGGCCCACTGTGCCTCCGCCGGAGAAATTATTACGTGCGGTCACCCGATCGTTATGAATATGGAGGCCAATTAGGATGCATCACGTCATCCGATACATAATGGTACATAATAAGGATACACAATAAATTGGTGATGTGACGTGTTCCGGTGATTGCACGTAGTAATTTTGCCTCTGCCGGCGATAGTTCGAGGAATGGCCCTGTAATTTTTTGTTCCACTTATAGACTTCCATTAGTCTCCACTCTCCAGCTTCTGCAAACCAAAGCAGATGATGATCAGCTGTAGCTTATGTTGAAATGGCCCTATAACTCTGTTTGGTGAAATTTTTTTATCTTATATTTGAAAATATATATTTATACTTATCTATAAAAAAACACATACAAAATTATTAATTATATTTCAAGGTGATCTCATGTTAAATTCAACATACCTTTCACATAAAATTAATTTACAGACAATTTTATGTAACACCCAATTTTATCTATTAATTATATATTTTAACTTTTCAAATTACTGCCAAAATATTAAAAATTATAAAAAATCAAATTAATATTTTTCACTTTCACCAACCCCATAGGTGTCAGATCATGCTCTTATTTCTCCCCCGTTTAAGGAGACGCGGTCTTAAGTTGCTTTCAAAGTAACGAAAATGAGTAGCAAAATCCTTAAGAAGTTATTGTATATAGGCCCAACTTTGCTTCAATTGCTCGCCATTTAAAGAAGTAAAGTTTGGTTTGGTATCAATAATAAACTTATTAATCCTATTACTGTGATGTTTTTAAGAAGAAAGGGAAAGCCCATTATGCTCGTATTAAAGGAATGTAACTCCCATTCTGAGATGTCATGCATGAACTTATGAATGTACGTATTAGGTTTTGTTTGTGATATGTCATCAAAAAATTATATTGATCAGGCACGAATCTCGATGCAAAATATTATTGGAAAATCGAGCGACTCGACGAGACAAATCCAATGAGCCTAAGATTGTCAAATTCTGTTATCAATAGTGCCTTCAAATGCCTCATAAACAGTCCAGTAGTCCACAATCAAGGGATTTAACATCGACCGTCCATTCAAACCACTTCCAATTTACCCTCAATCTTCCTCCTATTTACTGGCCATGTATTCCTCAAAAAACTATAAATAACCCTCATTTCTCTTAAGAGGCGACTCAATAGAAGAAAAGAAGAGAAGAAGAGGAGGGAAGAAGCTCCTCCTCCTCGACCATCGTCAGAGTTCCACCCGACTTTCATGTGACGTCGGAGTTCCGCCCAACTTTCAAGTGACTTCGAAACTCCGCCCGATCTCCATGTGACGCCAAAACTCCACCCGATCTACATGCGACGTCAGAATTTTGTCCTATCTCCAAGTGACTCTGGGATTCATCCCGAATGCCCCACTTCATCAAATCTCAAATTCTTGTTTATAACTGAATTTCAATCAGGGAGTGGATTATTGTAATCTGATCGTCCTAAATTTTAAGGATGAGTTAGCCTTTTATGCCTTTTATTCGTGTGCTGGATATCCGTATAACACTGAGAAAAAAATTCTAACTCTATCACTGCGTATATTCTAGCCCGCAATAAAAATTATTTTTAATTGGATATCAGCATTTTACATAAGAAAATAACTAAAAAAATTTACATTTTTGAGCATGTCATAATAAATATTGGATCTAAATTTATGATAATCTTATTTAAAAATAAAATAAAATAATGAAATTAGTACATTATAAAATCTATTTTTAATTGTTTGAAATTGGGATTTCTGCAATGAATTTTAATGCTATGATGCATCTTTGTTCCATAGTTTTATAGATTTCATTTAGGTTTCTTTTGGAATGACTTTTTTATTGCTTATTTAAATGATTTTTTAGTATAATTTTTTTTAAAAATTTTTATACTAAAAATCTACTCTAAGCAGAAGTAAAAAAAAAAA